TGATTTTGTATTTCTCCACATAGATGTACTGCAAAGAGAGGGCCAACCGTTTGAGAGACAAAACACGCGTTTATTATCCAAACGCTAAAGCCCCGTTGAGGCAGACTGAGACTGCAACTCATCGACAAAGGGAGAGAAGAAAGTGACAGTCAAAAAGCAGTCCCCACAACAACAACCAGACTCGGACTGAATGGAGGTATGCAACCCGTCAGCTAAATCGACAAAGGTTTCCACACGATCTAACAGCAAAAGCTAACCTGAACATTGGACTGATCGCCTCGCACAACGCGCCCCCGAGTATTTGCGCAACCAGGAAATGTCCGTCAAAAGGGGGAACTCACCCAAAAAAGGGGGGCGGATGCGCATAACAACCCAAAGTTGGATCCCGACAGTTGATCAAATGTCAGTGATTTTACCACAAGTCCCCGCGTGTGAAAAGGGATGGACTCTTGCAACACAAACAGCACGATGTTATCAGCTGTCATCTTGGCCAGAAAAGGATTTTTCCCTCGCGTGACGAAAGAGCTAACGCTAGCTGAACGGGCTTGTTGGCTAGCTTAAGTTAGCAATTTTTTTTCTACTAGCAATCACAACCAAGATCGATCTCTTTATATGGTCTACTCGCTGAAAACTGACAGCTGATGTTTCCTCCTAACTAGCAGGATCATGTTTTTTTTTTAACCATGTCGAGTTTAATAAACGCACATACCATTGTTTCAGCAACAGCGTTGCTTCAAGTTTGGAGACGAATTCCTAAATTCCTTTTTCCACTTCCCTCCTCCCTGTGGCCGAGCTCACGCTTCGCACACACGCACGCACGCTCGCTAAGACAACAAGGCACACTGGGAAAGGTAGTTCAACGCACTCTCTGCTCTCGTTTGTTGGATATTTTCCTCTCCTCAGCGGTTGAACTACACTACCCATGACCGACTTTGCGAAAACGCCATTCGGTTCGGAGCTGTCAGTTAGCCTGCAATTCCCAAATGAACCACAATCATTCCGATGAGGCGTTTTCATTGGTCCTTGCAAGCATCGAACCATCATGCAGCAACCCGCCGGCACATTTACGGGAGCCCACGGGGTAGAATAAAAAAAGAATAATATCAATAATAAACGAGTCAAACATTTTGGTGTACCCAAGTAACGTCTTCAGCATGATTGAAATACAAATCAATTGATTACATTGATTTGAAATTGGGATATTAATACAATTCTGTGGACTTTAGAACGTATCTGTCTCGAAAAAGTCGTGCATTAATTACACTCGGGTAAGGCGCACAGAATCATGTTAGAAGACAAATGCCAGTCGTTGCCATTTGATTGTGACACGGATTATAAATCTTTGAAACCTTATTATATGTATTGTCCTATATATACTTAAACATACATACCGTATATAAATAAATACATGAATGAATAAGTACATTGTGAGATATATTTACATACTTTAAATGTCTTCTCAAACAGCTGATGTAGCAGAATACCGCCAAGGACAAATTTGCCATCAAATGAGCAGCATGGTATTTCATTATATTGTCACACCTCACTGCTCCAGAGAAGGACATGGTACTGTCAGGCAGGCTTACCTATTGTACTATAAAACAATACAGGATTTGGTCAACTAATCATTAGTTGACCAAATTTGGTCAACTACTAGACTGTGCAGTGTAAATATTCGCGGCGCACATAATCATGTTATAAACAATACAGGATTTGGTCAACTACTAGACTGTGCAGTGTAAATATTTTTGCCACGAGAGAGCGCTGCTTAACTATCCTCCAATTAAGGAAGCAGTGTCTTGAAACATCCTATGGTGACGCTTGTCTTTTTTTCAAAGCGTTCTCACATATACAGAGTACGTGCAAAAATCTACAAAATACTTTCAAATGTTCACATAAAATGTAAACAAAAACATGTACTGTATGATCAAGATCATGTAATAAGGTGTGGTAACATTGAAATGTGAAATACTGCATAGTTCTTGACAGAAGGACAAACGCTCGGGCCCTTGAATTTTCACCTGAACTTCTCCTGCTTTTAAGGCTGCGTATTTAAACTAATGTTATATTTAATATGTACAGTACATTGAAAAATATCCCCACTCGCAACCTAACGAGGACAAGTGCAAAAGAAAATGGTTGGCTGTGCCGTGTGATTGACATGGTGTACCCCATTTCTCACCCTGTACAGTACCATGGTTAACTGCGGTGTGTTTTTACAATGTAACATGCTGTCAAGTTATGATTTTGAAAAATGGCTCTATGGCAACGTGCACCTTGGAAGGAGACCAAAACCTTTCGAGAACTACGTTGCACATGAAAATGTTTGTCTTCATTTAAATTAACTGCGATGTTTCAACGTGTAGTATGAAGGGGGAGATGACAGCAGTGACTTTTATCAGTTCATTTTGAGCATGAGCTCTGCAGCTCGGAGAAGGAGTAGGTGTGTGTGAGGAGATTTCTGCATGTCCAGACGGAGCGAGGCAGCCGTAAATAGAAAAGCAGACCAGCGAGGGCTGAATGCTGTAATGCATCCATGAATAAGAGATGTATTGAATGCAGCAGCTTTGTTGAGCCATCCGCGTGCACACAATCACACTCACTCTCATGCACACGCATAAACAGTGTGTATGTGCACAAACACACACACACACACACACACACACACACACACACACACACACACACACACACACACACACACACACACACACACACACACACAGAGCGTTCCATTAGAGGAAGCTCAAGCCATTAGTAGTTTTATCTTCTTTGTGTGGGACAGCACTGACAAGATCCCTCTGCACATACTCAAAGACACTCAATCAGGTCCCACACACAAACACATTAAGTCTTTTGGTCTACAGTGTTTTCAACAGATACTGTCATGGGCAGCTGTGATTTTAGACAAACTGCCAATATTGTAAGCCACGTTTCCAAAATGTAAACATTTTCACCATGTTCAAATCCGCATCATGGTAACATTAAGTTGTTGAAAAATAATCACATTTAAGCGCTGAATTGGAATTGCGGCTAGCGCATCTGCCTCAGAGTCGTAACTTTAGCAGCATTATCGAGTGTACGCATTAAGGTTTTGTGTTACACAACACTCTTGGTGGTGATTCTTCGAATGAGGCTTTGAGGAGGCGTAGAAAAGCAAATAGTAAATGGAGCTTTTCGTACTCGGACCAGAACGAACCTTAATGTTGTTGTTTGTCGCATTCACTTGAATGGGAACTCAGTATGTGTGTTGTAGGTATGTGGAGAGCGTGCATGCGTCTTGTGGAGGCAAGCGGGTTCCTTTGAGCGATACACCCCAAAGTGGATGTGAAGATACTTGTTTTATGTTGTCTTGAGAGGGAAGAAATTTCATCCGTGCTGTGTGTTGCACATATAGCACATTTGACAATAAAGTTGTATTTGATACTTGATAGTTAGCCAGCTAATCAGCATTAAACCAAATATTCAGTTGCACGGCCTGGCGATAGGAGACAGCCGATGGGCAGAAACGAGGATTTATTATCCACAACATCAGTCAGCGCAATACCCAACCTTAGGCTACAATGCAAAACAGGATGTAAGCCATTTCAAATGAAAACAACTTTAAGAAGTTAAAAGTGCCATTCAGTACTTTCCGGTTCAATCGACACATAAGTGAATGTGAGGCCTTGTAAAGTGCTTTGGGAACCCATGGTACGGTGAAGCTAAAGTGCCATGTAAGTGTAATCCAGTTATCATTTTTATCAAATTGTGTTGTTGTTGTTTTTTTGGTGGGGGGGGTGCAAAAAATCCAAACCAATTCAGAACTTGTTCGCCAACATCATCATGAATAGCAAATCGGGATTTTGGGTGTGAGTATGATCTTTAATCTTATTTGTGCAAAAATATACACTCTTGAAATGGTGTAAGATTAAAAAAAAACTTCAAAAATCATATGAGTTTGCACATTTCTACCCACTGTATCTGTGTCACTTGTAAGTACACATTGGTGTCCCGCAACCAAACGAACACAAGCATGCGCACACGTGCACACACTTGACCTGAATTTAGACAACGGGGTGGCGGCTCTCCACCATAACTTGGTCCATTAGGGGCTAAAGTGCAGCTGAGCCACATGCCACTCCACCGCAAGGAGACACACAGGATGTGAGACACACAATGGAAGTAGTGGGCCAATGTTGGGGGGGCCTGCAGGGAATAAAATACAGGAAACAATGGACGACCACAAAAACAAAACAAAAACAGTAGAATTAAAAAAAAAATATGATGATATTTGTATCAAGGTGCTGTTTTTCTTCTGTCAGTACATTATTAAGAGTTGGCTGCTGAGCGTTGTTGTCATGCACTTTGATTGATTGTTCTATTTTCCACACACACAGTCAATTTGTCCCGTGCACAACAACAACAACTCTGACTTTGCTTTTTGTTAGTTCCAAACTTGACTAATTGACAGCAGATGTTTCTGATCCAACATCCATTAAACTGTGCATCATGAATTAATGATCACTGCTGAGTAAGACAAATCTCAGCGCTGATGGCACTCCCATCGCCACTGCTGCCCCCATCTGGTGCGAGCGTCTCCCAAGTTTTAGATCTTCTCCTGCCCTTTGAAAGGGAATTAAGTTTAGAATTCGAAGACATGAATAGCTCGCTTTTCATTTTGGGAGACTTAAGCTTGATTTGGTGAAAACGCATCTCACGCACATGAACGCTGGATCTTTGTTGATGGTGCAAGTGTGTGTATATGAAGCTTTGAGGGCCATATTGGGGCAGAACGCGAGTGTATGGCACGCCGCACGCGCACGCGTACACGCACGCGCACACGCACACACACGCACGCACGCATTGATGAACGGCCGCTCAACTTGTCTCCAGACAGTGACAGTCTCTTTATCTCTCTCTCTCTCTCTCTCTCTCTCTCTCTCTCTCTCTCTCTCTCTCTCTCTCTCTCTCTCACCCCCCCCCCCCCCCCCCCCCCCCCCCCCCCCCCCCCCCCCCTCCGTGACAACGTTCACACGCAGACGCACAAAGCATTCAGCAGAGTGGAGCGTTCTCCGCACACCAGCCGGTTAATTTGCCCTCTTCCTGTCCTTCCCCTTCATTCTCGTGCAGCTCCATCATAAAAAAAAAAAAAAAAAAAAAAAACCCAAAAAAAAAAAAATAGCCATAAAAATCCCCAGACGATACCGACATCCCAGCGACTCTTCCACCGCACCACCCCCCCCCTCGACTACCTCACGCGGCCCGTGACCGTCTGTTTCCGCCGGTGACTGCGGATTTCTCCTTTCTCCTTGCGGGGATCCTGCGAGTGGGGATCATTATCTGACTTTAAACACGACCGGACCCGATTTCACAGCGGGAAATACACCGCAGTCTTTTTTTGTCTTCCTTTTTCCGTTGCCTCCCTTCCGTTTACCTGCACCGGTCCGAGTTGAGAAGAGCAACAGCCTCTGGCGGCGCATCACTGAGGTAAAGAGGCGTCTGATTGTGCTCCGTGACTACCGTGGGGTTGGTTATCGTGGATTACTGATCACAAAAGCAGTTCAGGAAAAGACCATTTTGCTTGTCCTGAGGTAATTTAGATAAGGAACGATAAACAGGTTGTTATAAGTGGCTGAACAATTGAAAGTTTGCGCTTGTTTGGCTCTTCCAACGCATTGCTCCGGAAGAATCGCAATCCTTGGGTATTCAAGCAGGGGTGAATCAAGGACAAGTGACTCGGCTGAAGATGTAGGGACACTTTTACCTCCTCCTTGACGGTGCATTGCGTGTGTGTATGTGCATCCACTCAATGTTACATAAAACTTACATCTTCCTGTACTTCCAGTTTTTCCCCATCCTTGCCCAACCCTGTTTTAAGAGATGATTCCTGGCTTAGGCCTGTACTCACGTACAGAAGTGGTGGACAACACCCTCGTAAATGCTTCCGTACCTTTGTTTTGACATTCGAAAAACAACTCACGACACATCATCAAACAAAAAGGCCTCCATCAATTGATTACAAACGGTTGGGAGAGCATTTCATTTGGCTCCCTCTCAGTGTACATCGCCAGCATAGCTAGATGAAGAACTATACTATGTGATACTTATTTGATTGACTGATTTCACCCCACTAATTAAGATAAGATATCCTTTATTTGTCCCACACTGGGGAAATTTACACTAATTACCAAACAAATATGGAAATGAGTGCCCAGTGATTGGTGACCAGTTTGCCTTTAGTTTCAAGTCAGCTGGGATAGGCTGCGGCTGCCCCCGCGAGCCTGATCATGAGAAGCGGTACCAGAGAATGGAAAGATGACAACGAAATCAACATATTTTGTAGCAGGGGGTGATTATAATAAAGAACAACAATCCTTTTCTTGGGTTAAAATGTGTTCTTCACTTCCCAATAGGGGTATGCACAAGTTTTCTTTTTTAGCTCTGATTTTTTTGAGGCCAAATAAACTGTCATTGAAAAACAATTACTAGTGATGTCTTGTATGCCAAATACTGAAAACCCGTTTAGCTCTAAAAAGCTCTCTTTTGCTCATTTTAAATGGTCTTGGTGACTGGGTGTGGCTTGAACCAGCCCAATAGTGACAAACTGTTATTTCATGATTTACAAAGACATTGGGATGTTATTAATAACCGAATGGAGAACATTTCTAAACTATTTGTCAACCTTGGGTACCCAATTTGTCATTGTGCTTAATTCTACATATTTTGGAGACACTATTTTTTCCGTGGATATTCATAATCTGGGCTTCCAATTTTGTCGGAATGGTTTGGAAAAGAATGATATTTTTTTCTTTTTAACAGGTGGGGAGGGGGGAAAAAAACTCCGACCAGCTTGTAGCAATGCAAACATCAAACCAACTCCATATTTTCTCTTTTTTTTTTTTTTTTAACCCATGAGGCATTAGCTCACATTCCATAAAGCTTATTGATCAGCCACTATCGACAAGCTCTTTTTTTTCCACATGGGCAGTAGCCACGGTGGCGACAAGTTGTGTCATGGCAGCAGCGGTTGTGAATCTGATGCAGCATTATTAGCGTCACTTGAGTCAGTTTGACAGCAAGGAGCTTTTTCATTCTCAGTCTCCACACTCTCAGCTGGTCTGAGGAGCCGTGCCTGTTCCCTTCTATTTTTAGTCTCTATTTACAATGCAGTAGCTACCGAGGCTTTTCACTCGGTTTCTTTCCCTTTTAGTCACTCTCCTCTGCCTCGTTTTCACGTTTTGCCTTCAACTCTCTCATTCCCTCTCACCCGTTCCCATTGCATTCGCCGCCGGGTCACGGCTCGAGCACTTAAGGCCCCTTCCTTTTCTACCACCATGAAAGTCAGTGCGAATTGACACATGAACTCAAAGATGGCCATGCACACGCACGTGCGCGTGTACAGTCTAATGGTGTGTTGTGGCAGGGAAGACAGCGGCATGGAAAGGGGCTAGAGGTTAATCTCTGGATGCTTTTAACCCAAATCGCTATGCGACCTACATAACCTCAATAAAATTACCACCCTATATTCCCTCTTGCCACACCCCCACGAGATATTTACAAAGGGTGAGACATATAGGGCTTAGCTTGCTGATCTGCAATAGCGCTGCACGTAAAACACCGCACATTTTGTCATTTACAATCAAAGAGACATATTTAAACCGTGACTGCTAGGGGCGGAGCTAAAACCTGGGCGGTTTCAAAAAGTGAGCGCAAAATGTGAAGAACATTTTGGAACAAGAAGGAACAGATCAGACGTCAGGATAATTGAATCTTCTGACAAGGCAGAGGCGTGCAGATGATAACCAGTCCAAGATATTTGAGCTGGCTGGCCAGCACAACCTGAGATTTGAGCACTATCTATGACTATAAGTGCTCTATATATACAGTTTGAGTATGTTCTCGATGTTTGCGGCCGTCATACAGTAAGTCCGGCACAACCCGTGGTCTCCCCCACCGTTACTCACCGCATTTCTCCCAAATTGGCATTCCTCCTTGAAAAAAAAACTCAACAGAAACTGAGAATGAGAGAACACTCGAACAAGGCTGATGCGGTTCATTCGAGGGGGAACAAATAACAACGTGGCAGATCATTAGACATGGCCAACGAATACCTTCATGAGTCCGCGGTCACACTGTCGGATCATCTCATGAGATTGGGTGCACAACGTACTGAATGTTAGAAATTCTGTTCGTCCAAAACAAAAGTGTGTGAAAGGGAAGAGATGAAGGCGGTGAAAATGGGGATGGAAGAGATGGAGGACTCTGGAGGCTGAAACTGGATCTCAGGCTGGGACTGGCTGTTGCCCACCCACTCTGTCTTTTTCTTTTTTTTTTTTTTTTACTGGTGAGAGACATGTGTTGTATAATAATGTGCCTCCAACTCACAAAAAGACACCAATACACACGCACACTCGTCTATTCTTGTCTTTCCTGTTGCGTCACTTCATATATGTCGTGTTCTGCACGGGGAACCAAGATGTCCAAAATGAAAGCACCTATTCGGTTCTTAACTGCTATGATCATGTCCGAGTTTTGGCTTTACCACCAGATGAATTGAGCAGTTCTCCAGTGTTACTAGGAGAGAAGAAATCATGACTTGTAATTTACCTCACACACAAGGGATGAGGCAGGGATGGATGGAGGGATAGACCGAGCAAGAAAGAGAGGGATGGATGGATGGACAGCTGGATAGAGTGACAGACAGACAGACAGACAAAAACTTCAAAAGCCAAAACTAATTTTTGGGGTCGAGGGCAAAATAACGAAATGAATACACGAATAACTAAATGACTAACTAAAGCTGTATATCCTGTTCTATTTTTCTACTTCCTTCAAGCTATTGAAAAATACATCCCATAGTCACATGAATCAACCATGCAAGTTAGCAAACATCTTCTACTGAGCTGGTTATCATTCTTTTTTTTTTTTCTTTTTTTTTTAACACCGTGAACTAAAATATTGTCCGTTTTATGTCTTTTGGTCGTCTGCCCAAACAGCCTTCGGAGCCGCTGAGTATTTACTACAGTGTTAAGTGCGTTGTCCACTTCTGTCTGGTGTTGTTTGCGCTCAATAAATTTTGACGGCCTCTATTTTCTTCCTCCTTGAGGTCGACAACAAGACACACGGCAGCCAATGACACGCGCTCCTTGGCGCACTCTCGGCATTTGAAGCGGTCGTCCGCCTCTATTTACGCTCTTGTGTTCACTGCGTTACAGACAGACAAGCTTCCAAATCCGACTGCAGTCATGGATGAGATGGACCTGCCCCAGATGAAGAAGGAGGTGGAGAGCCTCAAGTACCAGTTGGCTTTCAAAAGAGAGAAGTCCTCCAAAACCGTGACAGAGTGAGTTCCATTGGATCGCGCCTCGGTAGAAAAAAGAATAAGCAACGCCACTCTGCCAGATGACCCTCGGCAATCGATGCCATCGTCCAATTCGTTGCGGCTTGTGTTGCCCACTTGATGAAATCGCTGGTTCTCCTCCGCAAGAGTCCTTTTCTTTTTCCTCTCGAGAAAATGCAGTACGAATAAGGAACTCAATTCACTTGAAATTGTTCGGAAGAGAAACAAAAAAAAACGTTTGTCGCAGAGAAAAGCAGTTGTGAGGCGTCCTTGCTCTGTGACCATAAATGGGAAGGACGGAAAGTCCATCAAAGATTTACTGTGCTAATAAACTTGCTGTGGAATTTCAAACTTGTTTCTGTCTCCCTCCAAAGCTTGGTGAAATGGATCGAAGACGGCGTCCCGGAGGATCCCTTTCTGAACCCCGAGCTGATGAAGAACAACCCGTGGGTGGAGAAGGGAAAGTGCATCCTTCTGTAGGAGAGCGCAGCCAGTTTATCGTTCCCTTCCAACGCAGACCCACAGATGCCCCCCCCCGCCCCTCCTCCCCTGACCCCAGGACTCTGCCTCACGACCTCTCACCATGAATGTATAACAGCCCCGAGCGCACACACACGCACACACACACACACACACCCTGAAAAGCCCCGACGGACACACACGTTTGCCTGAACGCCACACCGT